CAGTCCATTTGCTTACGGCGCTATGTTGATTAAGAAATATAATACTGCCTTGTGAGCAGACGACCATATTACACTTTATTGTTTTTCAACCTTCATTGCAACTTTCCCAATCTATAAATCTTAGAAATAGAGTTATTTGGCAATAAACGTTCAGCTTGCCCTAATCCGAATCACTTTTCGGTCTATCAAGAGTCCAGACAGACATCGATAACTAGTGTCAATAACGGAGGGACGCGTACATTTATATGAAAGACATGGGTCACAGGTTGGATCCTAAGCCTATTACGTCACTATTACGTCACGGTTGTTTTAACTCTTGATGATCCCATATCCTGTAACGGTTAATTTGGCCCAACCTTTGCTTTTTTTAATTAAGTCTATTTCTCATGAAAAATAAAACTATTTTTTCGCTACTGTGTGCACTTTTATTTTTCCACGATTTAATTTCCGGTTTGCCGTGTTCCTTTAACATGAAATCCTTGTGTAGATCACCTTCAATGAACCCGTGACACCCAGTGACTAAAATGTGGTTTCTATTATTTTTAATATCTGCACTCGGGCCTGGGGTTTCTGTACCCTCTACCAGGACATAACTAGTATGCGGGTCAAATATTGCAACTCACCAAAAGTTTACCGTTTTATCTGCTAATATAGACACTGAATTGATTCCCCGTGGGGAAGTATTCAAATGGGTCGGCCATATTTGACCCTCGGACTAGTAAGTCCACCGCTCTGAATGCGGTCATACACAGATTTGTCTCTGGTGTATTCTTTACAATTTTTTCTGCTGTCCAGTGAGAATTTTTGCATGGAATAAATGTCATCACTCAGTTGGTCTTTAGTATAAATATCTTTTATATTTATCTTAGCAAGCTGGTCGCAATAGTCCATCATTAAAAGTATGTGCAACAACATGTAAATTTTTATATCTTCGGTGAATCAGCAATTAGTTCCTAAAGGAAGATTAAATGCAGTAATATGTTGAGTTAAAGAACGGCACAATCGTAATAGCCACCGATACTATATTCTTATTTGAAAGTCTCGCAAGTCCAGTTTACACTCCCGAGTTTGTATACACTCTGAGCGCATTTAAAACAGATGATGCGCGGACTTACTGATCCATGGACAAAATATGGCCGACCCGACTGAAAACCAAGCCTCTTATTCCCCTGATGGTCACAACGTCTCCACAAGCGCCATTAAAGGGATTAAATCTCGCCTCTGATGTTTAATTAACAGACCCCTGCAGCTACGGCGCGTGACGGCGGGTGCGGAGGCGGGGAGACCAGGGCATTAGCGGCATCACTTTTATGTGGGTCGGCCATATTTGATCCGCGGATCTGTTAGCCTGCGGACCATCTGATGTGAATGCGCTCTCTGAGGTTGGAGAGGAATTTACTGCTTAGCGAGGTTTTATGAAACTGGACATCATCGTTTGAGTCCGTTGTCATGAACTTTCCTCGTGAACACCATAAAAGGAAAAGGTTGTTTCTTGTTTTTTCTCTAGCAAACTTTAAACTAAAATACAGCTCGTTTTCTAAAAACCAACATGATTAGATTATTTTTCTTGTTACTGTAGTTGTAATAATAAGAAATTTTATCATTATTTTACTGTGTAATGCGATTCAACTTTTTACACCCTCCTTTGGCAAAACCTGCCTGAAAAAGAATATTGAATACTGAGTACTGTTTGTATTGTTTCATACATTTTTTCTCCAACCATTATTATTGATTTAGTCGGCGTATCTGCTTACAAACCTATTTAAAAGCAACCCGATTCCCGATGTATCGATTTGGCACTTTTCGGGGGAAAGTTTTGCGTGTAAAGGGAGATATGATATTTTACATTTAATGAGTTTGCACCACAAGGTAACAGAATAGTTATCACATAAACCGTTTTTTTTTTACTTTCAAGACATACACTGCACGTTAGAGTTTTATATACCAGGCATTGATTTTCCTGGCAAATTTCAACAATTCCCCCGCAATCAACAAGGAATATCTTATCGGAAACTGTTGCGAAAAATTACGATCTAAAACCCCGTTTTCTAGTTGTAAATTTCAATTTTTGCCAGTCTTCATCTTCATTACGAGTATACTGCTAAGTTAGAAATAAAGTTTGTTAAATTTGGGATACCTAGTACCAACAGATAATATATATTTACACCGATATTTATCCCAACTGTGAATATAAAATAACGTCCTCGTGTTGGAAAACATGATTTCGCTTAATGGAGATTGATCGAAAAAACACACTTAATCACATTTAGTACAAATACTTATATCTGATCATCTACATAATCGGCGGAATGGGCAAATATTGTATACAATGCACAAAACACGACAGGTTGAATGTGAAATAGAAAGCTCCTTTGAACAGAGAATAAAGAGCGGTGCATCCCTTTCTTCATGGTACCCTGAGTGTGTTGTAATCTTGTTTACAGCACGTGGCACGCGCCCGTCCTCGTGCAATAAACAAGTTGCATGTGACTGTGAGTGTATGACTGCTAGTGAGTCATGAACACAAATCACTACATCCATTCATTCTGGACTGTGTCCTGCAATACGACCAGTAAACTGGTACCTTCCGCCTATCGCATGTGGGTTCTGGCCATTGTGGCTGCTGAAGACGTGCCCCCGTGACTCATTACCATAAAACTCCGGCTTGTTTTGCGTTTTCTTTTTTTTGCGACACCCTACTGAAAAGACTTGATGGAAATCTTGATGGAAATCTGCGACAAATTATCTGTAGCAAGTTTGAGATATTACACTGTTACTCTTGCGATGAACACACACCAGGAGTCCGCGAGATGTGATCAAGACAAATACCGCGAGAGGGTGGCGGTGCATTATTTGACATATATTCCCAGAGAAAGTACCTGTATTTCACCGAAAAACCCCTAAAATACCCCTAAAACCGAATAAAGCGTGTATCGCCACAGTCACATAACATTTCAAGGTGTCGTGATATCAGCTTTCTACGTTCTGCCCATGATGTCACTAAAGGCCTAAACCACGAAGACGGCAATCTTAAAGAAGTGTACCAATACTCTTGGCTTTGCCCTCTACTCGTATTCGACATATACACGTATGTTTACTATGTGCCCCTGTGAGAGAGACACAGTGTGAGTAATGACTGACTGACCCCTGTACAAGCCACTAATGACCACTGACCGATAATGCAGTTGACTTAGCACACAAATAGTCAGATTAATCGGTAGCAGGCATTGGAGCCGTGCATTAATATTGTATTCAATGCACTACAGGGTGGGATTGACTTCCAGGAAAGAAGATAAGAGAGAGGATGTCTTAAAACTATTGAATGAGCCCAAAATACATCCCACCTTTCTTCTTTACTCATCAGCATGTCATTTTATTAAAATGCTGGCGTTGAACAGTACTTTGGAAATAACAGAAGGCGTGTTAATTTGTTAAACTGATTGCATTCAGCGAGAGTCCCCGAGGAGTAGGATCGGTCTACTTAGACCGATAGTTTCATTGGTAATCAGTACTGATGTTATCATAAGTGTAGTAAAGTCCATATTTGTCCAAACGCGGGGAGGGGGGCAGGTAAATGAGGGGGAAGGTCGGCAATTGAAACGAGGGGGAAGGTCGGCAATTGAAACGAGCCGCCCAAATGGCGTTTTAGAAGCCTATTCTGAATCAATACATCGTTAAAAACTGTGGCTAAAAAAGCGACCTGAATAGCCGTATGGTCGGAATGCAGGACAGCTTCTTAAAAAATGGTTAGTTGAAGGGTTATATAGAGAGACTAATTTCCGTGGAAATTTCAGCGATTCCCTTTGCACTGCCGTGTATAAGTACATAGATGCGTATGACCTGCAAGAGTTTTGAATCCAAATGAGCGATCAAAGGAAACGGACTATAGCTATGCCGTTGGGTCCAACTTTTGTGGTATAAGTGTGGTGATAATGCTCACATCTACACTTAGTTTTCCTGCAACATTGAGGTGCATCTTATGTACACCATTGGGTTTCTTAGCATTTATTTTCGACACTCAAAAATATAGGCAGTTCAAGTGTTTAGCTAGACCACTACATACGCACGCACACACAGGCACACACACACACACACACACACACACACGTGTACTTGAAGCAGTGGAGTAAGGGGCATTTAAACTAAGCAATGAGCTGGTAACCCCCCCCCCCCCCACACACACACACACACATACACACAGAAAAAAAATTAACAAAAACAATATTTGCCCTATCGTGAGCATTCCTCACTTAATATATTGCTGCAGTGGATCACGGGGTTTCATGCGTCTCTTAACCTTTTGGAAGGAGCTGCAAGTCGTTAATTACGACCTAAATGACCAAGGTCAGTGAAACATGAAAGCATTTTTTAACAGCGATAACTAGACTCGTCTCATTTCGTTTACTTCCCCCATACATAACGGGACACCAAGCAGTTATCTATAGTCTACAAGACCACCACCAATTTTCTCATAATGTCCCTTCTCCATGTTTCTCATCTGTTTAAACTGTAAATCACCCAAATACAAAGCCGCGACCGACCAGTTTAAACTGGTAAAGTCTATGTAAAATAGTAATCAACAAAATACCAAATTCTAAAGGTCCAAACATTCGCATTTGTGAATACGCATGTACGGTATATGTAGAACAGTCTGTACAGCCGGATGTCTGATATCAAGTCCACGTTAAAAAAGTGTTCCAATTTCTTCCGGATTCTAATTATATGACCCGTGCTGGATGTTCGATGACAGTTTTATTTCTAGCAGACTGCATAGAAACCTGGTTATCAAAGGTTAAAGTTCAAGGACTTAGGGGCCATCTCAACACCACAGAAGACCTGCACATTAAATCCAATTATTCCTAGCCTAGTTATTTTTTAAAACCATCCCAATTCAATAAAGTTGGTAATTGGGTTAATTAAAGGACCTAAGGAGTTTCTCGTCACCCCAAGGGACGGCAATTAAGACATTAATATTGTGTGTGTTAACCGGTGAGAGGTTCTGTGCGTCTCCCCAGCGTGGTTGAGTATCATTGAATCAATACTTTAAGCTTCTTGGTTGATATGTGACAAGAGCAAGACTTGAGTAAGCAGCTAGCATTTGTTTCTCAGGTCTCGAACATCGGTGAATGCACCTGTACAGTACGTGCAGTGTATACAGCTAGCTTATATGTTTGTCCTTATGTGTGTTTTTCATGCAGGGAAATATAATCGTCAAAAATTCATGTGACCCCCTGTGAAGTCAAGTGAAACCATCACATGTTGGTGAGGCGACAGACAAAGCATATACACGGTCTAGCGTGTGACGCTTTGCTTACCGGTGACTGCGCCGTTCTTACGTATAATTCAGCTCTTTGAACTTTTATAGAAACTCCGAGCGTGATAAGCAGAGAGGCAGTAGGACTAAAATGCAGGGATGAGGCTGGCGGTTTTCGGTTAAGAAGAGAAAGAGGGACAGAAAGAGAGAGAGCGAGAGCTGGGCGCCAGGGACTACACATAAGTAGCTATTGAGACGCCAGCGGCTTCATCTGATAACGTTCAGCTCAAACCAGAGGGCAGCCCCAGACGAGTCCAAACCAGGTAAGTCAATACGCTAACTCTTCACAAAATATCACCAGTGCACGTTTATTGAAATCCTCAAATTTTGCACTAGATTTCAGTCCTGCTGATTTCTTATTTGACACAAAAGTAAAACACGGTCTGTGTTAGAATATACTGTATGCACGTTGTAACCAAGGGCAAGAGTTATTTCATGCATAGCCCGCTTGCCGTTGTTCATGATGACTTGCTATCACGGGGCTGTCGAATTAAACCCGCATTTTAATCCACGATCATGATTTGAGTCGCTAGTCTAGTAGCTGGATGCTGCATTATATGGCGAAAGCTCGTAACGTTATTAATAATTGCTTTATGGCATACACAAAAAATATTCAGACAGCAAATCATTATAATGGTGTTTATAGGGAAGAAGGTTTTTTTTGTAAGAGGAAAATGCAGTGACAAACCAACTATTCAATATGTCACGCTCATTTCTGAATTTACATACAATTCTACTAGCTTTGAAAGAAAAAGCATCAAGGTACATTTTATACTTAAAACGTACTATAGCCCTAGAACTGTTTTCCTGAATCGAATCAAGAGACAAAAAATAGAGCTTCTGTTTGTTATGCGAACACATATAATATAGTGGCTATTGGTTTTATATGTCTCGTTTTGTTCAACATTCCATATTTTGCTAACGTTATGGGCCCGTGGTCTAACCTGGCTATTATTGGGTTATGATAACTTATGGGGACACTCTTTCATTGCACTGTATGATTTACTGGGTGGAACAGTGTCATATATATAGGCAATTTTTTGTCACAAATGACATGATGTGCTTACCTGTCCCTGTAAAAAGACGTCCCGCATTTTTTCACAACAATAAGGCTATGACTTAAGGGTATGTGAGTACAAGGGTCGTATAGGGAGAGCTTTGACCTCACTCTCGCACTAACTCACAATAATGCCCGCCACTGCACCCTCTCTCTATATCTCCTTGTATCCCCGCGCTCTTTGATAGAGTACAATGCAAATCTCTCTCTCTCTCTCTCTCTCTCTCTCTCTCTCATAGCGTGGCAGCAGACCGTCAATATACTGTACAATCCACATTAGTCTGATTGATCCGCAATGTTTCATGGAATTATTCCCCCAACAACTTTACATATGTATTATTCATGCATGCTATTATGATCAGTTCTACTTTATAAACCTTCAAAATGTCAATGTTTCGTTAAATGTTCCTGCACAAGCAATATGTGTATATAAGGCGGTTGTCGACACGGTTACTCTTACTTTCTTGGAGTATGTGTGGTTGTAGAGAAAAGGTATCTTTTGCTGGTAGTATAAGGTCGGGTTCCCGCTATTTTGTCCAAAATCAGATCAGTTACACTTACAAATGTTATTCAGTTATGTGAGGATCCAAGCTGAGACACTTACTGTACATGTATGTCCACACAGATGTATATCGTGCACATCTGTCTGCACTGCTGTATGTACAGTGTATATGTCGAGATAATGTGTATATTGAGCGCATGCTTCATGCTGGGCACATTTGAACTAAATATGAATAGAAAGCATTGCACATTTTGAAACCTACCCTATGTAGCAGTGTACTGCAGGTAGAGATGGAGTGACAAGACAACGATAATTCTGTCAAGAAAACGTACTATGCAGGCAATGATTACCATGATCAACCAAGAGTAGCTCAGGAATAACACATACGCAACACCATGTCCATTATAGGGCCATTCACACTGGCAATTTCGACCGCGGTTAACGCCTGTCCGCGAATAGATGGGAGTTATCTGGACCGTAGTTTACGTGCTAGTGTGAATGGCCTTAAAATGGGCCCAGTGTGATGCTCTGTATATTCCACGGAGAGCACCTTTTTTTCGTACGCGACCATTAAGTGGTCCAATAAGTGGTTATCCTAGAATTTGACCCTCTCTGAGCGAGAAACCACAATAAAAATCACCGACGATTGCACGGTGCCTTGGCGTTTGAACTCGTGGCTTTTTACGCACTCTCGATTCAAATGACGAGTGAGAAGCAGACTTGTCTGGAAAAGGTCCGCGGAACAGGTTGTCCTGGGCTCATTGGTTAGGCGAGCTTTTATTGCGGTTTATTGCACTGAGTGCGCTATAAGTGTTTTAAGCCTTTGTGACGCAGGTTAATGTTCCCTGTATGTAAGACTTGGCTTGTAAGAAGGTCCCGGTGGTGCACTGCATGCGTTGGACTGAAAGTGGTTATGTATTGCAATTGGAATTCAAACGGTACACAATGCAGTATACCGACCCTGGGTAGGTTAAGAATGGTTTTAATCGGCTATATTGGGGCGCTTTCGGAACAAGTTGATCCGCGGATCAAATATAGCCGACCCACTTGAAAGCGATGCCGCCTAATTCCCCAATGAACTCCCCGCCTCCTACACGCGCCATCCCAACAGGGGCACAGCAATTGAATCTCGGTTGCTCTTCGATCAGGACGCAATTCGCTCTTATGATGATATTTGCCTTGTTTTCTACGTCTCATAAAAGTGGAGCCAAGATTTAACTGCTGTGCCCCTGTAGGGACGGCACGTGTGGGAGGCGAGGTGTCCATCTAGGGGACTGCGGCTTTGCTTTCAAGCGGATCAGCCATATTTGGTCTGCGGATCAGTTAGTCCGCAGATCAAATTGTTCTGAATGGGCCCAAAGATTGAAAATCGGGCTATAGTAGGGTTGGTTTGCTGGTTCAATAAGTCGTGATCTGAAAATTAAAGTACAAATGGCCTTCATCGGACGTATCACTATGAACTTGATGTCTTTCCATTCACCCCCAAAAAGCGGTCAGACAATGCCCGGTAGTAATTGGTTGTTATCTGCATTGTCTGCTTTCACTACAAGGGTCAAACTGTTGTCGCGTGAGTCACGCTCACCCGGGTGAAGATCGAACACGAAGGTGGAGGTGTTGAACCGGGGGTGGGATGTCTCTGGCGATCTCCTTCGTATCTTTTAGCGCACCCTAGGTGTGGCTGTGTGTGTACTAGTAGGGGGAGCGGCGGTTGAAAAGAGGGTCTGATGCTTTAAAGAGATGTTGCATGACTCAGCGTTAAATGAACCCACTACAGTAAGGGCGTTCACAGATAGGGGTTAGGGGATTGAAATAGTCATATATCAAGTCAACTTTATCGAAGCGCGTAGTCCCATGTATTTTTATCTTTGCTACTTATTAAGGTCGCTTGGCAAGCACTTAGCAAAATATATAACACTTATTGGTAAATAAACATGCCAATAAAGTCAACACCCACTGTAACAAATAAATGTTTATACCAGTGCCTATGTAGAGATCACATCAGATCCTCTTCAATGAATATTCTGTTGACAGAATGCTGAAGGCTGTCAATGAGCCTTCGTTAAAAACATTCAAGATAGTTAATACTCTATTCCTACTTTAGTGTTTCAGAGTTCTTAGATCGCACCGTTAATTGGCATTATTTCTTCTCTTTTGGGCACGTCTGCATGCCGTATGATAACGGAACAGCATGTCTCCTTAAGCTTAATGTAGATTTATGACAAGCACGCACTAGTCCATTGTGGTATTTTACTGTGGACGAGTCACATGATTTTCCCATATCTTCCCTCATTTCAAGCAATTTGTACAATGTATTAGTTGATCACTGCAGGGAGTGTTTTTGTGATGTGCGTGCGATATGTTGAGAGAGAGAGAGAGAGAGAGAGAGAGAGAGAGAATCTCTGTAACTGCGTTTTAATTTATTCTGTCTTTCATTTATTTTCCTAATAAAGAACTATACATGTGTAAACACCCGATAACAAGCTCGATAAAAAACTAACTTACAGCAAGCACTGTACATATGCTCAACCCATAGAAACAGAAAGCAAATAACAGTATATTTACTTAAATTTTGACAACTTCACAGTGTCAACATATGTGTACAATGTAGTATATTGTACAGCAATCTTACAGGAACCTGTCCCTATCACTGCCTTTCGCTATCACAGGTTCTGAATATCTCTATCGTTGACAAATGTCAAGACATAAGGCGTAGCTTGTTCGCGGGGTTTCTTGTTAGGTCAATGAAAGAGGCTGGTCTACGTGTCTCTTCACCCGATTTTATCAATAAACCAAGATCCAGCGTCCTCCCGTTTGTTTGTTGATGATGCATAAGAAATGTAAATAAAAAGACCTGGGATCGGCACTTTGGGAGAAAATCAAACCAGCACAGGAAAAAGAGGTTCCGGATAAATTTATCCCTCCAGGATGGTACCCGAATTTCAGGATTTTTTTCCACTTAAAAGTGCCTTTGTCCGAAATCGTTATGATCGAAAAGGTCATTTTACTTTAATAAAGGGAAGCGTGTAGTTAATTGTCCGGTGAAACTAGTCGACTGTATGTCTTTCACCTGTTCAACTCTACGCACTTCTTACTTTTGTGGGATTAAAGCTACCCTCTACCAGGGCCACAGATTGACTTTTCACAGGATATTCTCAAATATGTCTTTAGATAAATAGACGGTCATTTTACTATCTCTGACCCTGTAATGAAATCTCTAGGTTGATCACATGGTTGGTAATTGTTTGCATAACTGCTCAGGCACTGACCCAAGCAAAGTCCCCTTGACAGTAATCAAGACAAATAATTGATCTCAATTCAAGCACTTGCTCTTTTGTGACAGATAAAAGTAACCTCTTCGGAATAGCTTATTACTACAGATTGAAGTTAATGGGGGCATCTGCTGTAGTAGCGCTTCCATCTGGCCAAAAGTTACAGGGTGGTATTTTCACTTTTTCCCTATAATAACTGCCACCCTGTGAGAGGATACAGTGTATATTAAAGCCATGCTTTATGTCCTCATACATGTATCTGTTAATGATTTTTTATTTAACTTGGGTCGAATTAGACTACACTTATATATTTCTTAAAGTCAAGAACAGTTTAGGTGGTGCCACCAAGCGGCAGCTGGCTGTAGTGCACTGGATCATCAGGTCTTGGTCGCATTAATTGAAACCGCGCCAAACGTTTGCAATGATTGAAGAAAT